CAGTGTTTGCTCGGTTATTGTAGTATCAAGGGGCAGAGCCCCATTGCTTCGCAATAATGAATCGGGAAGTTTGAAGTCTTTTGGAGCATTCCATTTTTCCGTATTAAAAATATTGTCAGATACAGATACATTGTGGCGAGATTTTTCTTTTCGAGTAGAAAGCGGAATTGTGATAGTCTTCCCATTATGTGTAGCTGTAAATTCGCCTTTTACTATAGGTTCCCATCCAACATGGTGTTGCCATTTGGTACCAAGTATCATTATAGATATATCATTCCCATTTCGATCTTTTTTTGTAGGGATTACGGATATTTCTTCAGAAACTGTTATAGAATCGCTTCTGCTATCTATGGATATAGGAACGTTATACGAAGTACCAATAGACTGAGAATCCCCAATCGCACCAGTAAGTTTATGAATATTTTTCTTATCTATTTTTAATCCTAAATACTCTGGAATGTTATCAGTAAACATCGAAGAATCTGCGCCGGTATCTAGAATTGCGTGTGGTATTACCAAGTCACCTATTCTACAAGAAATTGTCGCTACATCATTAGGTTCTCCTATATCGAGAAAATCAATATCAAAGGGGTTAGGCCAATTTCGTCTTATTTGTGCTCCTTGATATAGTTTAATGGCGTGGTTTAGGGTAATGGTATTGTCAACGGAGCTGGCACGGCCAAGTTTTTCTGAACTTAGTCTATTAATAATTTCAATAAATGACTGGAAGATAATTTGATAATTTTTCGCAATATTCTCCCATACCTTATTTCGTTCTTTAACTGTATACTTTTCAGCATAATAGGAATCAAACTGGTCCTTCATTTTTGTGAACAGATTATTAAGAAATGTACGAGCTTCAATGAGAATCTCCTTGGGAACATGAGGCATCAATTCGGATATCATATGTTTAAGAGATTCAAGAAATACTTCCCGTTCCAAAGTAACAATAGACTTCTTTTTAGTAGAAGACCTCTTCTTCATAGGAATCCGACTTTTTTTTTTACATTAAAGCAATTTTGCGGTTCGTTATCTGAGACGGTTTCCTCATCTTCACTCTCCACGTCATTTTCATTGTCTTCATCTTCCAATACAACAATAAGCTCATCCTCTTGATCGTAATCTTCCGGCTCAGATTGATTGGTATAGGTGTAATTAACCTTTTTAGATGTTTTAGCTTTTCGAGGCGGAGGGCAGTTATTTTTTCTATGTCCTATTTTCCCGCAATTTGAGCACTTATAAGTAACTTTAGTAGGCTTTTTTCTATTTGTAGTATATACTTTTTTCTGCAGGAAGGGCTCCCTTCGGGAGCCTGAAGTTTTGGTACTAACTCCGTTAACTTGACCAAAAGGCTCTTTTCTAATATTATAATTTTCATAGCCTAATCTATCATATAATTCATCATCGATAAAACTTGCTAAAGCGTCAGGATTTCGAGATGCATCGTCAGAATATCCTAATCGCTCGGCAATACTTTCTAAACGATCCAATGCCCTATTGTTTTCCTGGGGTTGGAGTTGAGGTTGAAGTTGGGGCTGTTGGTAATATGTAATTTGAGGAGTCGGGATAGTAATATCTTTCAGAGAAAGTGCGCTTTGTGCGTTAGATGGTTGAATATTACTCCTACTTCCATTTGATTCTAACCAACAATTTCTGAGATTTGTAAAGAAAGCGTCTTTAGTTGCAGGAGCTGTCATTCTAACCCTGAGTTCTAAATTTTCTGGTAAATGATTATAAAGTATAGGTAAACAATCG